TATCCATTTTACATATATGCATCTCTACCTGTGTTTCTGCTTTTAAATTATGTGAAATAAAATGAGAACACATCACCCGAATGGGTATAAATGTTTTCTAATCGTGGTGAATGTCGTCGTCGTCGTCGTCGATACTTTTACCATTTTTTGTTAATTTTTTTTTTTTGGTTTTATTGTTCGTTTCTGTCGAAAGGTATGCTCCGATCTATTACAGTTGATAAAATCTTTTCAACAAATTAGACGTATAGAGCCATTTTAAATGGCTTAGATATTCTAATTACTTGTTAATTAGTAACAGACATGACTGATAAATTTGCGACACAGTCGCCCCGGTTGTTTCGAATAATTTTGCAGCACGAGTGCTTTGGGCATTGTTATTTCTTCATTATTTCTTTTCTGTGCCAAAGCATACATGAGTGCATGCCGCACGTTGATTGGAAATCGAAATGATGATTTGAAACTGAGCTCACGAAATCAGTACGTGTACTTAACGATAATATAAAATAACGCGACGGGAGTCACAAACCCACAGATTCTCTCGATGAGACTCTTTTAACAGCAATATAATGCTGACTTTCTTGCAATACAACAATCTCATCGTCTTACACATATGTATTACACACATAAAACGCACTTATTATGTTCACGCGCGCACATTCTCTCATTCGATTTGTTAAACGTTTTCGAATATCGGCCGCATGACATCTTTAATTAGAATAATTAGAATCTTTTATGCATGTCGACATGCGGCTTTTTCTATTCGATCGTATTTGTCGTATAATACAAATAGCATAACGTAGATGAGGTCGATTTGTTTGAACTTATCTGGTTTGTGTAGGCATCAACCCATCAACATGAGATAACTCAATATATTCAAACGCACAACAACAACAACCAGAAAAATCAATGGGTTTTGAACAGTTGAGAGAGAGGAGACAGAGGAAAACAGAAAGTGAGCGAGAGAGAGAGAGCGCGGTAGAGATGAAGAGAACGCATATCAGACACATTTTTCTGACAATTATTCATAAGTTCATTTCAAAATAGAATTTATTAATTCAATGCACATTCTTTACATTGAACAATGAATTGTTCATGGATTTTGCAATGTCAATCACAAACATTTTTATAAAGCATATGTAGCTGACACATTCAGATGTGTATGCATTAAGGTTATATTGCTAATCTCATTTCTAATGTTTAGCATTTATTGCGTCCTGTTCTTTCTCGTTCCCTCTCCCTCTTTCTCTTTCACTCCCATTACAAATTGTTTCAATATACACATTTATTGACACAAACTCTGTTATGACCATATGGAATGATGATGTGTATTTTTACCATTTTTAGGATTAGACAACAAACATATGGGCCATTCATTAATGTGTAATAAAATAAATAAACAATTTAAAGCGATTAAGTAAACATTCTGGAATGTTGTGTGTTACCCATTAAGCATTGGTTCCAAAAGTTATTTGTATGCTATGTGATTTTGAGATCGATTTTTAGTTTTGGCGCTTTAGTTTTGAATGCGATGCGATATCTGTGTTCAAAATGCAATGATTACGTTTCATTGGTATTTGGCCGGTTTTTTTTTGCCGGGTGCGTGCAACATCGGAAACGATAAGCTGCTTGTTGTGTAAAGTCATCGTCCGATATCACAATCGTACGCATTCAACTGAAATGTGATGCAGATGTGCACAGCGACCGGAAAGATATCTCTAAGAAAATTCAAATCAGTGTTTGCCTAATTTCCTCTTTCGATAATACAAACTACATTCGCTGTTGAATGTGGTTTGTTTTATTTTTTTTTTTTTTTTTCGTTTTTGCATTTATATTCATTTACAGATGCATTTCTATGGCCTTTTATGCAACTTTCACCTTTGATATGCACATTCAGAGAGATGCAATTGTTTTTGTTTTACCAGGCGTCTTCATCTGGTTTTCTTTTGCATGCACAAAAATAAAAGCCGTTACATTGTTTGCTGTATACTGTCTGGTGAATGAGTTCATATAAGTAAAACCCGGCGAAAAAAAAAGAAGGCGAAAACGACACATAAAAGAGCATATTTATTATATGTTAAAATACGCCGACAGCCGGAAAAAATGGCTGATGATACAGTCATTTTTATGCTGGCAATGAACGAAATGGCAACAAACCACGCATTTGTGTTAGACTTTGGAAAACAACAACGTTGTGGCTTGCAATTAATTGCATTTCATTCCTTCTCGTTCGCTCTCTTCTAATTTCACTTCGTTCGTTGTCTTTATTTTTGTTGTTGTTGTGTGTTTTATGATTATCATTGTGAACTGAAACAAATTGTTGAGAATCTCCTTTCACCCCGCTCATTTTCGGGTTACTACATTTTGCACTTTTTGTGAGTGAGTGCAATGGGTTTATGTTGCTGGGAAGCCAACACGTGCGAAATTCACCAGCAGAAACCATAAATGCGATTTATTTTCATTAAAACTCAACATTTCATGTTGGTTTTGTATGATTTTTTTTTCTTTCTTTTATTTCGACTTCCCGGCGCGAAGACGGCTCATTCAATATCCTCCTTACATAATACAATGCAACACTCTCTGTATGTTGAAAGTGTGTGTATTTGCTCGATTTTTCATTTATCTATTCCGTTGAAACAAAATATGCCCAACCACTTGGCTTGTTAAGTAGTTTGAATAGATAATAGGCCAGAAATAACACATACACACTGAATAAGATGCGAGATATTTGATATATATTCTCAACAGCAACAATGCCCCGAATGCACGATCATCTCTTCTTGAGTGTTTGTTTCATAGTTCAAAGAAACTATATATATATCTATATATATATCTATATATCTATATATATATCTATATATCTTTCGTGCGCATTCCCATAGAGATAAAGATGCAATTATCACTGCGTTTACAAAGTGATGCCAACCATTGCTAATATAAGAAAACCTACAGACAAAACAACACAAACTTTGTTTTAAAAAACAAAAATGAAACAAAATATATACAAAAAACCATGAACTTAACGGATTGGATGTCACGCAATAAACACATCTGAATTTTTTTTTTGTTTTGTTTTTATTACATCTGCAGACAGTTTCAGCTAAGATGATGAACGAGACACTCTTTGGGCCAATTTATTTATTATTGCGACAATGCGCTCTCAAACCGATTCTTTCACTTGATGCTCTCACAGCACACATCAACAGTGTGTGCTTGGCAAATCTAATCTACACTTTGATTTGATCTTTGTATGTTGAAAACCAGATGAAAATAATGAAACAAACTCGGTGATAAAATCGAATTGCTTATGAAAGTTTATGTTTTTATTGGATTTTGTCATTTGTTTCTATGAAGTTTAATTTATACGCAGCTGCATATCACAGCAATATCGCGCAGCAGTGTTTAATCATTTTGTGAGAGCGATAAAATTGAGAAAGACATTTCTTCGTTAAATTTTTCGCACAGTTTGTGCTCCTTTTTTTCTCATGTTAGACATTTATTCGGTTATCTTAAAGAAGTGATAATTTATTTCTTTCTCTGAACCTTTGCTTTTAGTTTTGGGTTCACTTCACCGCAAGACCTTTAAAAAAAAAAAAAAATAAGTTAGAAAAACAGAAACATTTTGATAATTTACCATTAAAAGTCAAAATATATGTCATTCAATGACACATGGTTGTGTCGCGAGCAATAGAAACAAACGGATCGGAAGGAAATGGTTAATATGAATGGTTCGAACGCATATTTTAAAAAAAATTGGTTTTAAAGAGGCATACATTTAAAGCAAATGGGTCATTTTCATATGTGATGAGCGATGCAATGCTTTTCGATTGCTCGATTGTGTTTGTGTTTTTTTGTGGGTTGTATGGAGGGGTTACAAATGAGAGCACGCATAGATAGCACATTGCAGCTTATTTATTTAAAAAAAAAAAACACTCACCAATCATCACATCATTGCAACGGCCTAAAGTCAAATTTGTTGAAAAAATCAGTACGGAATTGAAATTCAAAGCGATTAGACGGTTTTCAACATTCCATTTTGTAAGCATTGATTGATTGGAATAAGAACAATAGAGAATTTCAAAGAAATTATAGCGATTTTGGTTAAAAATAAAACCTTACCGAATTTCGTCGAATGAAACAACAACAAAAACAAAAACGGTATCAAAGAGGTCATCGACAGCACGCGCTACGCTTAATTGGCTACAAATTTTCAAAGTATCACCATTGTTTTGTTCATTTCTCATTTGGTGACGGCAACTAATCAACTTGAGATGAAAGATGGAAAACAACAAAGAACCTTACTGTATAATTGCCGCTCATTTCCGCGTAATACAGTTTCATCATATTAGACTTTGTGATGTTTTTTGGTGATTTTGTGCTCTTTTTGCACATTTTTGCGACGATTTAATTGGCGGTCACATTGATGTTTTTTCTTTCACATATCTACAATGTGTGCGATTGAACGTAATCACATATATGTGGCAAATAACAATAAAATCGAAGTGAAGCGAATAAATGCGCACAAACATTGAAATGAAAATAATCACAGAAATTCATGCGAACGCTATTTGTGCAATGATGTAAATTCAAGATTTTTTTTAATTGTGTGTTGAGCGCAGATTTAGCGTTGAAAAGAAGAAAAAAAAAAACAACATTTCCAGCAATGTGCACACGCATAGTGCATTGTGTGGCAAATGTGAAATGAAAGTAAAACCAATTATTCCGCGTGCATTATGAAATTGTATATGTGTGTGCATGCTGTGTTATTCATGAAGAGAAAAGTAATTCATCAAATAGCTGTAATAGATCGAACATTTGTTACACATTTAATCAATCGGTTATGCGCGCGTCTGGACTTTCGAATGCAACATTTTCATTTTGGGAAGCATTTGTCTGTGTTATTTTAAATGAATTTCGTTTTCTTCCATATAAAAATAGAATTTCAATAAATGTAATCGTTAAATAACCGTTTTCAATTCACCTTCTTTTTTTCCATTCAATAGCCAAAAATAATTACTTTGAAGACAAACCACATCGATTGACTTTAGATGTTGGAGATGCTGTGATAATCTGTGGCGAATGTACAAATTGGTATTATGGTTATAAAAAGACGTAAGTATTTACAAAAAAAAGAATATTTTTTAAATGAATGATTCGATTTGTCTTTTTGACACCACATTAAATGGAACAATGCTTCTTTTATTTTCATTTTTTTTTAATCCAGAGATAAAAGCAAATGTGGTATAGTGCCAAAATCATATATTCATATATTGGAGTGTGTGTTAACACCGAAAAATGAATACATTGTAAAGAGATCGGCAATTGTTGATGAAATCACAACAGTACTGCACGAATGGGGCGTTTTATTCAAAAAATTCTACTTGACAAACCATGAGATTCTAAAGCCTATTCGAGACAAATTACTCGAATTAATAAGTTTAAGGTCACAAATATTATCGGGCAATTTACCCGTTGACGAAATGAAAAAAGTAAAATTGATGGCCACATCCGAAATTGACACCGGAAATAAAATATTGGGTAAGTGTTTGTGTGTGTGTATAAGTCGTGTAATCCGCATTTTTGTATGTGTCTAATGCATTTCGATATGGTTTTTTATTCGAACCAATAAATTTAGGCTTAGACATGGTTGTACGAGATGAAAGTGGCAACATTTTGGATACAACGACAACATCAACAACACAATTATATGAACACCATATATTTGCCATAGATCGGATACGAAAAGCAACGGTAAGTAATACCATCAAAAAAAAAATTCAATTTGGACAGAGGGGGACCGATTGACTTATTTCTCGTTTACAATCATAAATATTTTTCTTCTTCTTCTTCTTCTTTGCAGAGTAACTTCAATAAAAATCGTTTATCAAAAACGACAAACAAGCATTCACACAATTTATTGGTTACGGTGCATGCATTTGTTTGCAAACATCAGGAAGACTCAGATCTGCTATTAACACTGTACGACGGTGATGAGATGAAAGCAATAACCGAAAATTATGTAGTCAAATGGGGACGACAGGGCTTAGCTCGTGATTTAGATCAATTTGATAATCATCGTGTACTATTTACGGTACGTTTTTATTTCCAACCATAAATCTATTGTCCAAGGCCCTGTAAAACTTGATTTTCCAATGTAAATGGTTCTGGTTTTTGTTTTTTCCTCGTATTTAGGATTTAAGTAGTCATGATTTGAATCGAAACAAAGTCTATTTAATTTGTTATGCGGTTCGTATTGGTGCAATGGATATGAAGGAAAACGATTCGAAGCGCAACAGTATGGCAAATGCAGTACTAAGCGTAAGCCATAAGAAACATTCACAGCTCAGTATTTCATCGAATTGTTCAAATGGAAGTGCAAACGAACAAATTGCATTGCGACGACCATTTGGTGTGGCCGCCATCGATTTAACGCCAATCATTCGAAAACCAGAAGATTTCAAAAATAATTTGGATCTGCCATTTATTTTATGTGAAAAAGAAAATTTGGACAATACACTGAAAAAGCTGCTGATGAACAAAGATGTCGGAAAAATTGATTCGAAATTAGCAGTCAGTGTTGAACTGTTGCATGGTGATATAAAGCAGGTAATGATACAATATGCATTTGCTATTTTATGCTGTATAGCATTTATGGCATTAGTCATAGTTTTGTAGTCGGAGATTTTTTTTATTGCCATTCGTATATCACAAAGAATATCTGCTCGTGTCCATTAGTAACATTTAAAATTCTTAAAAGAAATTATTGTGTGTGTGTTTTTTTTTTGCATTGAGAGTCGATAAGATAAATAAAGAAAAATGTATTTGGACTTTGTTTACACAATTTGTTAAAAAATAAAACTGCAATTGTGCTGTAAATAAATAAAGCGCCGTTCACGTCCGGATCAACAACATATCCATAAAACATAACATAAACAAGTTTATCACTCTGAAACGGATACATTTTGTAGAACTTATATAGTTTAGATAAGATTGGCATAAAAAAGAAACACAAAGAACAGAAAATGGCATAACCATTGCACTTGACGCATTAAAAATAGTATAACATTAGATGTGACAATGAACACACCGAAACCGTTTCGTAAACTATCGCAAAATTTTCATAAATGTCTTGGTGTTTTACAACAGATCAAAGAGGAGTTTCCACATTTGGTGCATGGAAATGTTGCGTTCGCACGAAAAATGGGCTTTCCCGAGGTCATTTTTCCGGGTGATGTACGTAACGACCTATATTTAACACTGGTCAATGGTGAATTTTCCAAAAGTTCAAAAAGCAGCGATAAAAATATCGAAGTGACTGCCGTTGTTTGTGATGAAAAGGGTCAAATTGTGCCAAATATTTTAACATTAGGAGCCGGCGCTTCAATGTTAAACGAATATAAATCGGTGATTTACTATCATGACGATAAACCCAAATGGAATGAAACATTTAAGATTGAGTTACCTATTGAAGAATTTAAAAATTGCCATTTACGTTTCACATTCAAACATCGCAGTTCAAACGAAGTTAAAGATAAAGCTGAAAAACCATTTGGACTATCATACGTACGTTTAATGCAGGACAACGGAACAACATTGCAACACAAGTGCCATCAATTAATCGTTTATAAAATAGATCACAAAAAATTCGACAAAGACACATTAACACACTATTTGAAATTGCCATCGCGTACATTCGAATTGTCAACCAATGAAAAACCATCGACCGGCGGTCTCACCATTTCACCAAAAGATTCATTCACAATTCTCACCAATTTATGCAGCACAAAATTAACACAAGATGGTAAGTTAGGCTTTATCTTATTTATTTTTTTCGATTTGTTCAGTTGTGTAGAAAGAAACTGTAGAAAAGTGGTAATTTCTTAGAAAACTAACAACCAATATTTAATTTTGTTTTGTTTTGTATTGTTTAGTTGATTTATTGGGACTATTGAATTGGTCAACACACAAAGAGACGCTGGAAGAATCATTAAATTCACTCATGAAAGTTAGTCCCGAAGAGGTTGTGAAATTTTTACAAGACATTTTGGATGCTCTATTCAATATACTCGTTCAAAATGATGATCCACCGAAATTTGATCATTTGGTGTTCAAGTGTTTATTGCGTCTCATTGAGATTGTGTCCGACCTTAAATATCAACATTTTCAATCTGTACTGGATCTATACATAAACGAGAGTTTCTCCGCCACATTAGCCTACGAGTGAGTATTGAAATAATTATGTTCCCATCTTCTTTTTGCGTTGCTTCTCTTTGCAATTTTCATTAATTAAATTTTCAATTGTTTCTTTTTTCTTCTTCCGTTCAGCAAATTGATAAATGTACTACAGACGCACATTCGAAATGGAATCAATAATAAAACACCCGAAAATGAGACACTCTATAAAACGATGAAAAATTTACAATACATCATGAAATTTGTGATTCGTTCACGAATTTTATTCGCAAAATTGAACGATGATCGAGATCAAGAAATGTTTGAAGCAAGTTTAGAAGGTAATTGTTTCATGGAAAATCAGTAAAAATTAATGGTTTTTGAAATTTCTAACAAAAAAAAATCAATATCTATTTTTTTCGGTAGATTTACTACAGTCATTTATCAAATTGACGGCATGTCCAAACGATTTGCTGCGCTCTCAAGGTGCAATGTTGAAATATTTGCATATTATTTCATCGGATTTGACACAAGTCTATGACCCGGTCAAATTGAGGTATGCCATTGCAAAATTAGCTCCCAATGTAACGCGTTAAAATGTAATCACACTCTTTTTTTTCTCACCAAATTGCAGTAAATTAATCGTGGAGATCTTAACGAATATTGCTCCGGGTCGTTTGACCCAATCAAAGATGATTTGCATCAAGGAATTAGTTGATTCGAAACTGTTCAAAATGCCTGAATGTCGTAAAATTTTACTTCCGGTATTTTGCGGTCAAATCAAAGATAAACTTGAAAGCAAAGAAGAGGTATGTGTTCAATTTTTATTATGTTTGGGTTTCGTTTTGATTTGCAACAAAAAAAATAATTAACCAATTTCAGTGTCACAATCTAACAATATTTTCACATCTGTGTGTTTGTGTGTGTCAAACTGCATAATGAAAACGATCAAAATTTCATTTAAAAAAAAAAACTGCTTTCTTTTTTGGCTTGACTTTTTACCATTATTTTTAAATTGTGCATCAATCACAGTGGCTGTTGCGTATGAAGTGCACTCTTTTGAACTTTGTCATTTGCGCCCATGGTTTTTTGGTTGTTATGGAATGAGACTTATCATGGGTTGCATTGAATGCATACATATTTGCACTATGAGCATTCTTATAAACATGAATCTTCTTTGTGCGCTGTGAAAATGTTGAAATTATATAAAACAATCAGCTCAATAGTTCAATGTTACATTGCATTATTATTTTATATTCGATACATTTTCACAATTGCATAATTATCAAAACAAAAAAAAAACATCAAATGTCCATGGGGTAAGTATTTCGGTTGAGCATCATCATTCACATCACACTATTTCATTCATATAAGTTTGAATTCGTTTCACGTTCGTATTGTTTGTCCGTTCAAGTGACGACCTCACCATTTTTCTAACCCGCCTGATTCCGACATGAGCATTTTTATTTTGAGTTTTGTTTTTTCATTTAAAACGTACACTGTTTGTCTAATTGCATCCGTTTAAGCGCACCATTTATTTTATGTTGTTGTTGTTATTGTTTTTGTGTGTGTTCCATTTGTCGATTAATTTTAATTTGCATTCGAGTTGACAAACGTTTTGCACTGTAGCTACTAAACTATTTGTTGATCCTAAGCGAATGTTAATATTTAATTAGTTTGTTGTTTCGTTTGCGTTTTGTTTTTTTTTTTATTTATTTGTGTGTGTAGTACGTTTGTGTATGCCAATATTTTTGTTTTAGTTCAATTAACTCATAAAAGTTGAAAAAATAATAATAAATGAAAATACAATCACTGACATTTCAAAACCGGAATGACAACAATTTTGAAATATGATTAATAAATGTACTATATTAATCATCACTAAATTACTAATTTCGGGAGTTTAATTTCGAACAAGTATATTGCATTTATATTGCGACATGCAGTAATTTGCATGTTACTTTGTTTTTATTATCCAACAAACAAAATTTCATACAAAATATCTTAAAATTTTATTGCTTAGATTTGACACGTAATTGTTGAATTTGAAGCTGACCATTTTATTACAAAAGCAAATAATTAATAATAATTTGTAACTAAATCTAGTTGTTTCTTTGATTTCTTTTTGGTTTTTTTTTATATATTTTTTTTGTTTTTGCTCTGTTGTTATCCTCGATAATTTCTTCTGCTTCCTGAATCGTATAAATTAAATTGTACCTTCCCAACCCCCTCAAAACCAAAAAACCAACAAACGATACCCAAAACAAAACCAAAACAAACAAAAAAACATTACAATACACGCAAACGAATTGATTGATATTGTCGAACGAACGAACGAACGAAACAAATAAAACGCAAACCATTAGGGTGATGTTATGAATGATATATGGCAACAAGAAAAGAATCTGACAAAGGCTGCAAAAGTGTTGGGCGAATTGAAATCGCATCTTCATACACGTGAATCGCCCGCTAAGACAAAGGTAAAATGATGATAAACAGTTAATCGATCGCGGTACAGTAACACACAAAACGAAACACAAAAAAAACTCTTGATGTGGCACTTGAGTGTGTATGTGTGTGTGGTTTTTTTTAAATGTATTGCTTTTTGTACCCAATTTTTTTTACTCATGCGCTGGAAAGTAAAAGCCATCACAATATTTAATGTACTCGGCAATTATCTTCAATGGTAACTATAATTAAATGTTGGTTCTCTCACGATGAAACAGGTTGCTGAATGTGTTACAATAATGAATAATATGCTGGAGCTACTTTATCATGGTACAAATGAGAATGTTGGACCCACAAAAAATGACATCCGCGATATAATGTTGATTTTACTGCGAACTGTGATTCAAACATCGATTGCCATGGACCGTGACAATCCATTGGTTGGAAATCTGGTGGCCATTATGCTTGCTATATTCCGTAGCATGGAGAGTAGCCATTATGATGATTATGTGAAGCATTTTCGTACGCGTTACGATTTACAAGATTTTCTCACCGAAATATTGCTCGTTTTCAAAGATTTGGTATCGAAGCCGGTGTTTGCCAACGATTGGATGGACATGACAATGCATCAAAATACCGTCATTTTGGAAAGTTTAAAGCAATTTTCCCGGGTTATTATGGATAACTTTTTCGATCCATTCGAATTACCTGTGTGGTCAAATTTCTTTCATTGTTCGATTGCATTTTTAATTCAACCACCGTTGCAATTAGATCAATTTGGTGAAAATAAACGAACAAAAATTCTATCACGATACAAAGATATACGACACGAAACGGCATGCCAAATACGAAGTATGTGGATGAATTTGGGCGAACATAAAACCCATTTTGTACCGCAATTGGTGGGTTCGATTTTGGAAATGAGTCTCATACCAGAAGTTGAATTACGTAAAGCAACAATTCCAATATTTTTCGATATGATGCAATGCGAATATTATACATCAAAGTATATGATCGAAGGGTATGGCGATACCAAACGGAATAATTTACATTACAAAGGGAATTTCAATGAATTTGAAAAGGAAATGATCGAAAAACTCGATCTTATCGTCGAGGGTGGCCGCGGTGATCAAGAGTATAAAGGTAAGTGTGCAATTCAATTTCACAATTATTTTCTTAACACACAATTTAATGTCGGGTGTTGTTTTATTGTCTCGTTCGTACAGAACTATTCTACGAGATTATGATGAAATTGTGCAAAGAGCACAACACATTGTGCAGTGAAGGCGAGAAATTCGTTAAGATCGTAACGAGACTGTTGGAACGGTTATTGGAGTATCGTTGCATTATCAATGACGAAAGCAAAGAAAATCGTATGGCATGTACGGTTAGTCTGTTACAATTCTATTCGGAAGTGAATCGCAAAGAAATGTACATTCGTTATGTGAATAAATTGTGTGATTTGCATATGGAATTTGATAATTACACTGAGGCGGCGTTCACATTGAAATTGCATTCAAATTTACTGAAATGGGATGATACACAGTTATCACCATTGTTAAAATCGCGTCGTCATCAAAACTGTAAAACCCATCGACAATTGAAAGAGTGCCTATACAATGAGATTATTGAATATTTCAATAAAGGCAAACAATGGGAATGTGCGATAAATATGTGCAAAGAATTAGCACAACAGTATGAAAATGAAGTGTTTGACTATGCCAAACTGAGTTCGATGCATTTGAAAATGTCACAATTTTATGAGAAAATTTTACGAGAACTTCGACATGAATCGGAATACTTCCGTGTTGCATTCTATGGACAAACATTTCCGGAATTTTTGCGAAATCGTGTATTCATTTATCGTGGCAAGGAATATGAACGTCTAAGTGATTTTTGTTCACGCATTTTATCGCAGCATATTGGAGCTGATTTAATGCAAACATTGACCACTCCGGGTGACGAAATAAAACAAGGCGATGGTATGTTCATTCAAATAAACAGCGTTGAACCGATTATGGATGTGAATGCAGAGGCTTTTGCTGAAAAGAATATCGCACAAGAAATTGTCAAATATCATCTCAATAATAATGTACAAAAATTCAAATTTTCACGACCGTATCGTGATCATAAAATCGACAGCGATGAAAATAGTGTGACCAATTTATGGTTGGAACGTACCGTGATGAAAACAAAATTCCCATTGCCAGGCATCTTGCGGTGGTTTGAAGTGATTCAGTCGGAAACGTTTAAGGTAAATTCAGATTCATTTTTTTTCGTTTATTGTTGATTTAATTCTGATTTTTTTTTTAATTTTGCCTAATGTTACAGATATCGCCAATTGCATATGCCATTGAAACCATGGAATCAACGAATAAAGTCATTCGCGATTTAGTGATTGCTCATAAAAATGATGAAACGCTACCGATCAATCCGCTCAGCATGAAAATCAATGGGGTCGTTGATCCGGCTGTGATGGGCGGTTTCAGTAAATACGAAGAAGCATTCTTAACCGAAGAATATATTCAAAAGAATCCACAAGATGAGAGTCGCATCGAAAAGCTAAAAGATTTGATTGCATCGCAGATTCCATTACTTGAATTGGCATTGCTTGTGCATCGTGCCAAGGCACCGTCAACGCTAATGCCATTCCATGAAAAATTGGAAAAATGCTTTGCCGAAATGCAAGCCAACGTCGAATCAAAATACGGAAAACGTACGAGCGATTTGAATCGTGATTCGTTTGTGATGATGCGACGACAAAGTATAATGCCTCAAATTAGTTATGAAAATCGTTTAAGCGAAACAAGCATCGGTTCAAATGAGTAAGTAGTCATAAATCTATACATGATTGTTTTGATATTGATATAACCAGGTTATATAGGCGCACAAATGATGCCGTGCAAAATTTGTTTTCTTTATTCAAATAAATTCATGGCGTTTTTCACATATATATTTCTTGACGTGCGCTCCGATGTTTCTCTGGCAAACACACACACACACTTCAACTGAATGCGTCTGATCCCATTCTAATTCATTGTTTTTCTCTTTATGTTTTTTTTTTCATTTCGTTTTGTAGTAGTGGTTTGTCAAAATCAACTCAAGGGAGTCGTCCACAAACCAACTCTATAATATCGACCTTCGGCTTTAATTTTAATACTACCAATAGGTATAGTGAACTATCATTTATTCTATCTATCTATCTATTTTTAGCCAAATCTACTATTTAATTCACTAAAAATCATTAACCCATTACTAACAAATCAATTTTCTTTCTCTTGCTTGCACGTTTCCGGTTCAACAGAATGGACTTATCACCGACATCAATATTTACTAACACGAAAACTCTTTCACATAACATATTTTCCTTTCTTCAACTTCAGCTATAACATATTTGAACGATTTTCTTAATCGATTTTTTTTTTTGCATTTCACAAACTATCAATGTTCGTATTCATCACACATTAACAAATTTGGCTTTTGATTCACTTATTTTCACTTCTTTAGTTTTTGAAATTTCTTCAATTTTGTTTTTGTTTTATTTTGATATTTATAATTTTTCTTTTTGTTTCACATTTTCCCACCCACTGAATAAACAAAAGGAATCCGGCTGGTTCGCCAAGCAATAAAGGCAAATCAAAGGATAAAAATAGCAGCAAACGAAGGTCCAGCAAAAGAGTGAGTATTTTGTGTTTGAACTTTTATCAATTACATTCAACATTTAAATCATTTTGCTTTTGTTTTTACAGTGTGATCGAGATTCTCTTAGTTTAAATTTATCAACGAGTCAATTTTATACATCGGCATTGACGCCAATTTCATCGACACCGCCAATGGAAATCGAACCAACGTCCATTGCATCATCGACACCAACAGTCGCTCCAACAACACCAGTCGTCGAATTGACAGAAGAAGTAATGTTTAAATTCAACTGTACTCGCTCAATCAAATCTAATCATTTTTTGTTTTGGTTTTCTTTACTCCCGAAATAGTTAACTCCAAAGCGGCCACTACGATCGGAAGTTGAGCGTGAAAAGCGTTTATCAAGACCAACAAGTATTGTAAGTCCCAGCATAAAAGGATCACAGACTGGTGTCGACTCACAATCGTTGTCGGGAGACAGTAGCAATCGGAATTCAATTGGTTAGTATTGAAAGTTCAATTGTGTGCGCTTATCGATAGTTATTCAATTTATAATTGTTTTTGGTTTAGTCACAACAGATTCAACGACATCCGAAGATGATTCAATACCAGCACCACCGTTGCCACCAAAAACGCGTGACAGCAACGATTATAGTAATTTACCGATCACCTGTGTGAACATTCATGACAGTTGTGGCAGCGAAAATTATTCAATTGTAGTCGGACGTTGGGGACATCATAATAGACCGTTGCCAGCCGAACCATTGTGCATAAGTAATTCATCGTATGATTATGTGGACGCACAAACACTGATCGAAAATAATAAGCGTCCACGGCCACCAACACCACCGCCAAAACCTTCTCGCAATAGTAAATTTGTACCTGCATAAAAGCGCACATTTCGATACACGTACATTAGCATGTTTAGGCCATATTTACACAACTAAAACGAACGAAGCTCTGCCGGCGGATTCAGCGGATGTTATTTCATCGTTTTCTTTATTATTATTATTATAAACCAATAATAATGTATCACTAGTGCACAATTGTTTCATCCAAATCGAACACAAAAGTATTTCCATTTATTAAGTGTAACAAAGACTATTTTCGTTCATTGTTGAATAGATTTTATTAACTCAAAAAGACATTAGCAATATATGACTCTTTCCGATTTTGGAAAAGACTTTTTTTTTGTTGTATATTCTTTTGTTTTGTGAATCGATATCCAAGTTCATTTGCTTCCAATGAACATTTTGACAAGCGCACAAAACAAAATGAAAATTACAAAATTTAATCAAATGTTTCAATTTGAGTAGGAAAATTAAATAATTAAATAAAACAAATATACTTACCCTATAGAGATTTTATAGATATTATTTGGGAGTGTTCATGTTCTTAGACAAAATATATTCTCTGTTATAGATTTAGTAAGAAGTCTATCGAAGAAAGAGATATTGCAAAATTACCACAAAAGACCAATGTACAATCTAACATTAAAATAGTTTTGTAACAAAACTTTTGTTATTCAGAGAGAGTGCAAGAGAAAGAGAGAGAGAGAGAGGATCCATTTTTTTTTAAAGATAAACATTGTATTTAGGGAATCATTTAATATCGAATAACTTTTGTTTGATATACATCCACATATTGTTTACGAAAGCACACAATTTTTTTTTTAAAGTGTTAATGCAAATTTTAAGTGCCTATAAATTAGCTAAATGTGTATGAATTAAGTTGATTTTTTTCTGACTGGCCAAAGATTGTTAGTATAAATTCCATTGAATAAATTCAAATACATTTAATTGAAAATGGCATGTGTTTGATTTTTTTTCGCTGTTTTTGTTTTTATTAAAAATTTGCTTAAAAGGAAATGTTGTTTGTACAAATAAAAGAAGTACTGTTTTTCATTTTCAAAATTACGGCAATGGATTTTTTTAAAGACTTGTAAACACTGGAATAAAAATTAGGATGAATTATATAGATGGAAGCCTTCAAACGTAAGTAATTGACTGTTTCGATGATATTTGGATGCTTCTAGAGTTAGTTTTTGTATGTATGATGATTTTCTACGTTCTATGACTTTCAATCACAATTCTAGAGTTGCGATTTTGTTTGCGTGATAATTCCAAAGTTTCAAACATTTCCTGCAACGCTGCATTGGTTGGTGTTTTTCGGCGATTCCTTCGTAATGTAACCGCTCCATCTCGTAACTGAGCAATTAAAGCGTCCATACCTGCGGTCAAACAAACTATGTTAAAAATCATAATGATTAATTCAAGTGTGCAACAAACAAGATCATAAAGTAAAACAACCACATAACCAATAACCATCACCGAGTTAAATGCTCAACAAAAGCACAATGAATTAATTAATTTTGATTGAAAGTTCAATAGCCAAATAGAAGGGTTATTGACTAAAACAAGCGTTTTATATAACGCTTTCAACGTGACACACTGAGATCTATAGAATATTTTCTCCAGTTTCTCCAATTCCGTTATGCCATTTGCTGAACGCAAACACTCAAAACCGAAGGATACACATGCGAAAAGTTCAAAGTCCACCTGTTGCATAATGTACATTGTACATTGGATGAATTCGAAAAAGCGAAAGCGCAGGTAATGGTTCGTAAGTGATTGTTGTTAATATTAAAGGAACCGATTTTTTTTGCCGTGTTTTTTTCTATTTTATCTTATGGATAATTTCTGTTCGTTTTACGCAGAAAATCTTTTGTACCGCACCACCCTCTTTTTCATACATCACATTCATCGGAATATAATCTTCAAAACACAATGAAACCATATTATATTGAAGTAAATATGTTTCTATGAAACACATAATTACTTCTAAAACAGTGAAAACACACACACACAAATGAAGCGAAAAGAAAGCGCAACGACCTACTCTCAATTTGTGTATGGATAACTGAGACAGATTGTTTGGAGCAGTTTTTCTAAAAGCATAAATTATGCGTAGAATAAAAAGCGCCTTGAACGAAGGAAACAAAACGAAAATGTAACGAGAACGAGAAAAAGAAAAAGTAGAAATAAAATCTAAACACAAAATGTGAAGTGAAGCAAAAAAGAGCTTCTTCTGTGAAACGCAGGATATCACAACAATGGTAAAAAAGCATTGAAATAAACTGAATACAATGCGGTGCGTTTCACAGAGCTACTGATATTTTTTATGTAATGGATTGGGTTGTTTTATTTGCGTGTTCTTCTTCTTCTTTTCCTCTCGATGCTTTTGCTGTATTTTAGCCTCCAAATGCGCCGTACTCACTTCCCAATGGATACACAGAGAAAAGTGAACGTTAAATAAACCAACTTGTGATGACAGTCAACATTAACGACGCAACCGTCATTGTAGCGACAACAATTTCTCCCATTTTCACCGATGAACATACAAACAACAATAAGCGTTCGTCGGTTGGAACGGTGCGTTCAGTTTTTAATTTTAACCGCTTTTATTTTGTAAATCATTTCTTGTGATACGCTGCTATTTTTCCGCTAAATTTGTTTCATTTTTAAAAAAACACCAACCAAAATTGATTGATTTTTATGCGATTTTTTTTTCTGATAAAGAATTCCAATTTAAAAAAAAATTCGGTATTAAAGTGTAGTGTAGTTGTAGTGTAGTTTAAACAACAAAATTGCTTTACAAAAATGTATAATATTCGACGAATGATTGAAAAAATAATGGCCTAATGCAATGTGGTTAGCATTGTGTATGTTTATTGTTTAAAATGTTGTGAAAAAAAACTTGCGGGCAAAGCAATGCAAACATATTTTATCTCAACTCTTTGTCATTCACTCAGTTTACGAGCAGAGAAAATTCAATTAAATCTGCCATTTGATGGAAAAACATTTGGTACTCTATCTCTTGAAGCCTACGACCGTTCCACATTATATGGATGTGTGTCTGTGTTTGTGGCAATTAATAAAAAATGATAAAAAAATACAAACAACAACAAATTAAAACGTAATTAATTTCATGAAAATAGTGTACATTTTGTGTACCACACAGTTGACTGGATATCAGAGTTCAAAATTTAAACGAAAAAAGAAAATGAATGTGGAAACCACAACAAAATTATTGACATAAAAGTATGAAAAAATTGACTGACATAAAAGTATGTGAAAGTTCTGTTTATAGCGCAAATTATTAGAAAAAACGTGTCTATTTCGTAATAATCCACTAACATTTAAAAAAACATTGAAGCTTTTGACACAAATTCAACACAACAAAGAGCTTATACACGTGTCAGATTGCTTGTTTATTTTGTTATTTTGATAAAAAAAATTCCACTCAATTTGTAAAACTTTTTTAGAGAGGAGTGTGCGCTGGTGGGATTGAAGATATCCGTAAACAATTTTCTTTGTAAAAAACACACATTTTCTTTCAGCATTCGATAACGTTTAAAACGAAACATTTAATCCGTTTGTCATAGCTTCTGATGTTGGAAATCCCCAGAAGGGACCTATTTCCGAACTTTCCAAAATTTGAGGTTGAAGAGCAAAAAAGGTCTCGGCAAAAGTGCGATTCTTCTGAGAAAATTGGGTAATTCAAAATTCAGGAGGATACCATTTGACCCCTTGTAAGAATCTGAGGCTGTTTGCTAATAAGCAATTTTTACAATAGACGATTTTATCGTTCATCTTATTACAATCCATAAGGTACAACCAGAGCTCAGTGTTATAATGATTGCTCCACTTTCGTAATAAAAACAAATGGCATTTATATAGTGCATAATAATAAATAGCAAAAATTAATGAGCCTTCATCCTCTCCGAATGTATTATATTCGAGTGTGTGTGTGTGTGCTATTGAAATTGTCACAATCGAAAGACATTCTATTTATTGTTCATTTGTGCCAAATTCCTGGTAATCCTTTATTCATTATTTTTTATCAAACATTTATTGAATTCTCTGTAACGTCTATTGATTGAGCTTGAATTAATCATGGATTCACTTGAATTTTTTCATCGATTGTTTTATAATCAAGATCCGATTTACGATATCGGTTTGTTTCTTGTTATTTTCCAATAAATTATTAATAATTGCTAATAATCTATTCTATTTTTAGCACATTAAATTGGATTTTACATTATTAGAAGGAATCATTTTCCATGGTTGAACTTCAATTTCGTTATTCGGCCAATTTTTGATTCGAAGAAATTTCTAAGTTTGCCGTTCGCTTAAGTATTTAATCAGCTTTTGTTCTATTCAAATCGAAATATTAGCTGATTTTCTCGAATATATCGTTTTATTTGAATTTAATTAGGCGTCTGTGTGTAAATTAAAGCTTTATATCACCACTTGAACATCTCTGCAAGCGACTCAATGTGTCTGGTTTTCGAACTTGGTGGTGTGTTTACCATGCAAACGAATATACACCGAACATTGAATAAAGAACTTTTCGAAAGACTCTTGACTTCTTGGGTGTTCACTTCTAAGATTTATGGAGAGTGAGAGAGAGTCACAGAGAGAAAGGGACACACCGAACGATAGAAACCCAACGTAGTGTAATTTTATATATCACGAGGAATTAATTTAAATCGTTTAGAAGAAATCGCTGCCCAAAACTAACAACAAGTGAATGTGAGAGCCAAGTTATGGTTTTGTAAGCGCGTGCGACATCCACATCCAGCATGTGACTATATAATAATTTGGACATGTAATATGAAACCATCGAAAATTGTATTGAACAAGAGAATAAAAAAAAACAACATCAACCAATTTCGCGCGCTATTTCAACTTGAAGTATTCGTATTCTCTCATAAACGCGGTGATACGAGAGATGCTTTCTTTTACAGCAAGCTTACAAAATTTCAATGTATTTGTGCGTTATAAATTATTATATATTCATCATCATTCGCTTGTTAAGCACATTGAAGAACGTATTGAGGAGCCTGTGCGACGAGAAAAAACAGCATCGAACAAGAAGGAGTAGAGTTGGAGTGAGAGAGAGATGGGAGTGAAAGGAATTGGTGTTGAAAGAAGAAAATCGAGCAAAAAAAACCGAACGAAAAATGGTTAACAATAATGTTGACGACATCGTCGACAACAACAGCAACGACTACGACAACCATGGACAAGAAAACGCTAGTATTTTTACGGATTCTCGTCAGCTTCTTGGTACCTCAATGCACACAAGTAACACACGTATCGAATACAAAGGACATCAATTTATGTTTGATGTATTAACGTCATCGATGTGATATATAACGTGAAGCTTTTGTACTTTTCAATAATTCTCATCATCATGTCATATAAGTAAATACATATTACACACATAAATGTGTATGTTGTGATGACAAATAAGTGGATATATAGAGTGCAAATAGAATTGAGAGTGAGCGACATCGAAAATATGATGAAAAGTAAAGGTAAAATGTTTTATTTGATATTTTTGCTATTGCTGATGCCATGCAAACGAATATATTCGAATATTCGAAGAATGTTCTATTCAAAACAAAATATAAAATAACTTGTTCATGCAAAACGAATCTACAAACGATATGAAATTACTGGGTGACATTTCTTCCGAATAGAAAATGAACATGGCAAATTTGATTCAAACAACACACAACTACGGCCATACAATAAACCATGCAAAATGCAAACTATACACATGTTGAATGTGCTTACACCTAGGGGATAACCATGATTTGCAGATCGAAAAATTTATAATAATAAACGCTATATCTCTCTATTTTTCACTAATTCTGCTAGTATTTCTACTAGTTTGTTCTAATACTGCTATTTTTTGCTAATTTTTCTAGTACGTCAAAAATATTGCATAAAGTCATCAAATCTACATTTCCGATTGCAATTCGTAAATTGTAGTTAATACAGATGGAACGTGCTTGGTTACGTGCCATTGAATATATTTTTATTTAAAAATGGGAAAAAGCGTATTTAACTACATATTTTGATACATTTTAGTTCAACACTATTCAATTCGTTTGTTTTGAGAATTTTATTTTAATTAATTATTTCAATAAATTCAAGAATAAATGCTTACTAAAGTATATACATGTACAGTGCTAATTCTGCTATTTATTGCTAATTTCACTATTATATTCATGTAAATTTCCCTATTTTTTTGCCAATGTGCTAATTCTAATTCGCATGGATATCCCCTAGGCTTACACAACGAGATGCAAACAAGAAAATAAGAAAATGAGACATTTTCCAGCGTTTATTAGCGTTACATAGCCATTTGATATGTAAGAGGGGGGGAGAGACAGGAACAGAGACAGAGCACGAACAATACCATCAGTACAGAAGCAACAAAACATAATAGCACTCAATTCACATTTGGATGAATATGTATACCTTACCTGTTGACGATTTTTTCACATCCGGATTGCTACAAATGCTAGCATTGTCACTCGATTCGCGTGGATTATTGAGTGTGAATGTTGTGATGCCGTCTTTAAGACTGGCACCATATCTGGCCACGGGAATTTTGAAATCGGGCATTGGGGGTGGAGGCGGAGGCGGTAAACAAATTTGTGTTATGGCCTGTGTGGATGTGGATGTTGTTGATGACGATGATGGGGTGCTCATTGATGATTGCATTGTGCCATCAAATAAATTGCCACAGTGTGAACATTTCACCGTTGTTTTATGTGATGTTCCTATTTCACTACTATTTCTGTACAAATTTTTTAATTGTTCAACTTCAGTTTCGGCTGTTTCAGCTCGACTAATGGCAAATTGAAGCTCTTTTTCCACAATCTCAAGTTTAATGCGTAGCACATTGATTTCGTCATTATTGTTAGTTTCGATTGTTGTTTCCATTAATTTATTCTACGGATAATGTTTAGTTAGTAGAAAATAAACCGTTTTATATTATGTTTTATGTAATGTTTGTTGTATGCAAATTATTTTCAGTTTTCGTTTATTTTATTAATTTATTTTTTTGTTTTGTTCAAATGATGGCAAATAATTCAAATGGATCCCTCCTGCTGCTAGTTCAGAAGAGTTCCAAATGAATTTTCTACGGTTAATGATGTTTACATGCAAAAGACAACAAATGAAAAAAAAACAAACAAACTTTTACAGAAGAGAGATAAAGTGATTCGCATTTCAAACTTAGAGTCAAGAGAGTGGCCCATAAAATTCTTTTTACAATTGAATACCAAATGAACTAGCTTCTTACCATTTCAACAATACGCTCCGTATGCGCAGCCTCTCGTCGCTTTAATTCCTCTTTTAAATGCATCACTTGGTCGTTTGTCGAATAAAATTTAGTCGATGTCGGACTATCAATGGAATCTTTGCTGCTTCCACGCACCAATTCATCATTTCTCTTCTTCATTTCGATTAACGCCTCTTCCATCCTAACAAGTTTCACATTTGAAAAAAAAAACAACACACATTTTTAATTCAATTATATCCAGAGCTTTGTTCATTACAAATTTAAAAAAAAATGTAAAATTTAATAGAAAAGGATGCCCCGTGGAGTTTTTTTTTCCTGTACAAAGGTTGGAAACCTTTGTATCTCAATTATGGTTAAAACAACTCGAAGTAAGAACTTACACACAGTGAGTACTACTCTTACAGAAAAAGTAAATCCAACAAATATTTTACTTGGTAACAACATTCAAGCGAACATTTAGCGAAAACTGAAAACTGGCATATTTTATACTGGCCTACTATAATTCAAACTGATTTTTTCAGTATATGTATTGCATTGTGCCTTGTGCTATTGTGTCTTAGAATCTATGCAAGTACAAATGAGATGAATAAAAACTCCACGATGGTTTCAACACCATCTTCATGTTTTAAAGTATATTCTGATTGATTTGATTTGTTTATCAAATAAATATAAAAATAGAAATCATTTGATTTGATGTACACTATTCAATTGTGTATTTCAAATCATGATTTTTTCCATGATTTGTTGATTTTACAAATCATTTGATTTCAAATCTGAAAGCCCTGTCTTCATCCTTTGTTTGAACAAATACACTTTTGCAAATGAGCAATTTTGGTGTATGTTTGTGTCTTTTCGTTACTCACTTCTTATTTGTATCCATGCTTTCTTGCATGCTGCGTGTCATGAGCTTGGCAACTTTGGTGAGATTCGAATTTTCCACTTTAAGGTTTTCATTTTCCTCTTTCATGTGATGGTGCTGATAAAAGATGATCGAAATGATTCAGCCATTTGTAATGCGCAAAATACAATGTCGCTAAATATATACTCACGCTTTCAATAAGTTCTGCGATTTTCTCATTTGCTTCGTACAACTGTAGTTCAGTATTGTTCATTTGTGTTTTAATTTTTCCAATTTCATTGATTAATTGTTCGACAGTTTCAGTTGTAACAATATCACATTTAGTTGCATCATCTGAAAGTATACATATATCGATTGTGTTCGGGTTTGAGTATTTGTCGATTTGTGTTATTGTGTTACTAGGTGAAGTCGAGCACATCAAATCACCACAATCAACGTGCTCGATTGTCAACGTTTTTTTTTCGCATACGACATTGTGTATATGTGTGTTTCAAAGACATAAAGCAATTTAAACTCAAAATTCATTCACTTAATTATGGAAATGATTTGAATCAATTCGAAGTAATTTAAATGAATCGCTCGATTGAGTATATGAACGAATCGAGCGCAGAACAATGATACTTACCGTTTGCACTTTTCATTCGAATTTCGGGTGCCAATTCTTCAAGACGATTCCTAGCCAATTTGCCAGCCTTAACTAATTCCATGTGCTTGTCTTCTTGAATGCGAACCTTCTGCATAAGACTAAAATGAACCAAGAAAAATAATCCATTTCAAAATGCGATTGAATCAAGCAGATTTGAATACTTACTCGTTTATGATTTTCTTTTGTTGCTCTTGAATATTGTGAATGGTTTGGCCATCTTCAATTTCTTTTTGAAATTTATCCATTAAACCTTGTAATTGGTCCTTAAGTGCTGCTTGTTGCACTTTTAAATCGTTAAATTGTTTGCCCACTCGCCCATTTTCTCGCTCTAATTGGACATTTTTCTGCAAAACTGTGCATACGAAACAACAAAGAAACAAAATCGAAATAAAAAAAATGAAAAAAAAAACAAAAAAATGATGGCCATCGATTATTATGAAATCGGTTAAGATGCTTACTTGTATTATGTTTGGTGGATAATTCATCAATTTTCTCCTTGAGTGCAATATTTTCTTCAAGTAATGTGAACACATCCAATTCGCCACTTTCATTGCTGGGATTAAAGCTGTCGGAGAGTAAATCGTCATTGCTTTTACTCAGATTCTTCTTAATTCCAATCGATTTCGATTTTGGAATCGGAATGCCACTGCGTCGTGCCGAGGAATCCATTTTTATTTTAAATTCTACAGATGTTAAACATATTTTAAAATCAATACAAGGTAAAATAGAGGGTAAATAAATTGTAGCGGATTTTTTATTTTTAAATCGAACTGCGTAGTAGTAGTCACTTCGATTGAATTGTGACAATTTTTTTTTTTCGTGTTAAAGATGTGTGTGGGCCTTTGTTTACGTGACCATATTTGGTTAAACAGTCACCGTAGATGAGTATTATTGATTTTTATTGTGATTTCAAATCGATTCATCCGATTGTGTGATGAGTCACGGTTGGTTTTTTTTTCTTCTATTGAATTTTGGTTTGTAAACAAATTTTTGGGCGCCGGATGTTATTGAAATGTGTTTGACAAAAGTGACACATTGAGATTAGAATGCAGCCGATCAATTAAAATAGTCTAGTTGTGATATAGTGTAGTCACAGATGGTCAATCAAAACAAAAATAAGCGTGGTCAAGCAGTAATATTCTGATCGATTGATTTAACCATGGCCTACATGGGCCCGACAATAACGTTACGCTTCATTTGAATTTAACGATCCAAAAGTGTGTAGTATTCTTTGTTTTATTTCTTTCTCCGTTGATTTTTCATTGTCAACATTAAGCTGTCACAATTTATGAGTTTGAGCCATTGAATTGATTTATGCATCAGTCCGTTTTTAATCATTTCCCTTTGAATTTTATTCGATTTATTATTGCCTATTTCTTTTTCTACCGTTGATTGTTTTTGGTGTAAAATAACATAAGATTTAATTTTGCAGAAAAGCGAACACGTTGTGTGAAAGATTGTGTGTGTGTGCGAGAGTGTATTTTTACACAAAAATGTGTTTACATGGATGTTCAGTGAGAAACGTGATAACTGTTTCGGTTTTAAATTTACATTTAACTATATTGGAAAAATGCAAATGTCTTTCAGATTTAGGTTATATTCTGTGCATAACATCGTTTTTATGTAAATAAAGTGCTATAAAAATTAACGTCTTAAATTATGTGCTTAACATCTGTGTCTTTAGAAGATAACACAAAAAAATATCCATACAAATGAACAAAGAATATACACACTGTGTATAGAGAACGAGATACAATCACTAGGCACATGTTTGAATCGACGATCATTTTTTTTAACTCCAAGTGAAATATTAATCTTATTAAATGAAATATTCTGAAAAAAGAATTCAACATCCAATTTTGGATAGAATAAGATTTTCGGAGAAGGTTCAAGCCTACCGCAGTATGTTGATTTGAAAGTGATCGACAACTATACGTTTTGGGTAAAATGAATCGATCATATTCTCGATAATACTAAGAAATCGCCTCATAACGTCTTATGAATACCAATTTTGTTGGAACTGGTGCTAAGTCTGACGAATTGATCGAGGTACAATGATAGATAAAGGAAACTATCCCAAATTTAACAGTGATCACATTTGAGAGAGAAATGAATTCATTGAACGGATGCAAGCCAAAAAAACAATAGTTAGTAAGTCAAAGTAATGGAAGTGCAATTGAATCCAAAGGAATTCCCGTTATAAATTCCATTCAATCATCGATTCATTCACATTAACATCAATCGATTTAATTTATCTGCTTGCGTATAAACTCCATCAACACGAAAAAAAAACATCCTAAAGATTACTATTCTGTTTACATGTGAAAAGACAAAAAAAATCATTTGTACTTTCACTGATCGTTGTATATCGATTTCATCACTAACGATCCATTGAAAGTACACAATGGTATATCAAATGGTTGTCTTGAATAAGTGTTGAGGTTTTTACAAATAGAAAATATATTTGTTCGTTGATTCGTTTTGATTGAAGAGAGAGAGAGAGAGAGAGAGAGAGAGAGAGAAGGTGTTTTATTGGTGGTGTTCTTCTTTTAGTTCGTTACTAATGTGAATGGGTTATAAATCCATGTGGAATCAATCATACCGTGGAATTCAATTGATTGCCGTGTGGAATGAGTAATATTACGAAGTATGTTTGTTTGTGTCAATTTCATTCCGGAAGCATTAAATCACATCGGGAGGTAAATAACACTTTATCTAAATTAGTACAAAGCACGTTTAAATGCGCGCGCACAAAACGTATGACTGTCCATTTCAGTTGCAACTTCTTCTTGCCAGCTACTGCTGGTGTAAAATGTTTTCTATCTTTATCCATTTAAGTTGATGTTATTGTTTGCCATTTTCTGACTCTTCTTCATCTACCTCAGCGTGTTTTGTTGTCTTTTCTTTGAAATTTTTCAATACAATTGTATTCCAAATACGAAGCGAGAATTTTCTCCCTCTCACAAGTTTACTTGTCTCACTTGTACGACGACATGTATATCGCGTTGAAAGAATACCGCTGTGAATAATCCAAGTTTGGATTTATAGATAAGCTACCACGTTCACCTGTACTCGTGTGTGTGTGTACAATGTACATGAACTCAAACGGGCATAAAAAAAGAAGAAAAATTTGAGTCACGTAAAGTTTGCGCAAAATGACGAAACATCAACGTTCAAAGCAACCAAATTATATCGAAACGCATGGTTTAAATGTTTTCGCGTGTTTTCACTGATTATGTGAACTGAATATTCAACAGATGTCCAATCAAATATACAATAATAATAATCCTTGCGATGCATGTGCAATAATTTAAGCAACAACAACAAATAATTCATGAATTTGTGCACAATGACAACCATTCGTTTTCGCACAAAAATGCTAGTAATTGTACGGTGTTTGGAATGATTCTTGAGATAATTTTATAAATGACGGTCATTACATGTAGTTTCTTCGTTCATTCACATTGAACACGGAATGCATTAAGGCGCCTAAAGAAAATAAAAGTCATCAACTATGTTGAATGCACATCAATTTACTGGCGAATGTGTAAAAGAATGAAGAATGTAAAAGGAAATTGTGATTCGATCCCGTATGATCAATTAAAACGGATCTATCACATTCCAATCGAAATGCAATTTCAAACGTTCGTTTTAAAGAAACACTATGATGGCATCAAACGTGAATCACACTTACCACTCACTGACCGTTAATTTTGACACTTTCAGATTAGACACAAAACATACATTCACTTTATGACCAACGACAAAGACACAATAGCACATGAATTTCGCAGAAATAAAAAAAAAACAGTTTTTTTTTTTTTGAATCAGTTGTAAGTCAAATCAAGCGCGTACACACAAACGAAGAAAAAAAAATCGCACAAAGAATATGCTCGATAATGCATCGAAATTCGGAAAGACCGAAAAATATATGCCACAATAAAAATACGAACAAATAAATCGTCAGCTCAAAATCGATGTGTGGACTGAAAGCAAACTTAGTAATTCACTGCGCCGATGATGCTTCAGCAATGTGCTTTCAAATCTACAAAAAAACACAACAAACCATTTGATCAGAGAGCAAGAACACAGCAGAGAAAGAGATAGAGAATGAGAGAGCGAAAAAAAGAAGAAAAAAAGAAAGACAGAAAAAAAACTAACTAAATAAATGAATAACGAAGAATCAAGAGACAGCACGCTCAACTGTGTTGTTGAATGTGTATTGTGTAATTGTGTGTACGACGAATATGAAAAAAAGAGAGAAAGAGAAAAATATTTAAAATGTTGAATCGTCGTTGGTTTTTGATTCATATATGGGGATTTTGCTCACTCACATCTCTTTTTTTTCTGTTCATATTCAACACAAAACCATAAACACAAACAATTGCACCAAAGAGCCTAAACTAATACAAAACCGAAATTCCATATATTACACTTGCTCGGGCTCTGGAAATATGGTGCTTATACACAAACACATTTGGTGCACTCGACGTAGCCATTCACATACAATCACCATACATACATAGCAACCGATCTCTGATTACATTCTTGACTTTGTTTTTTTTTGTGCAAATATTGATAAATAGAAGAAAGAGGAAAACAAAAAGATTGTATATGAACTATTTCCAGAGACGGGACCATATTAGTCATCGGTCACTTTATGTATGGCTGCATTAAAAAAATGATACGACTTGATTCATACAACGGATAATTCCCATTTATGACTTTGCTTTCGCTACTTTCCAACCACCATTTGATCTCGACGATCTTGAAATCGATCGATGTCGCAAAAGCGATAATTAAATTTTCTCTTTCCGAATTGAATTGTGCACATTTCTTGTTCGGTACATTCATCGCGACACTTCTCACAACATAGAATTGAGTTTCTTTCAGCGGCAAAAATCAATCGGATAAAAGTGAATTGGTATATATTTGCTGTTGGTCGTAAATAACGATATCACGAATAAAACACACACACACACATATACCATCCTTTTTTTATTCTACAACAATTCTAATCTTGTGTGTCGACGATTGAAAAGTATGCTATATAATAACAATAACAGCGGCAAGCATCGGCTTTCATATATGAACATGAACCATATTTAAGCCATTTATGTGTGATCATTTAATTAATTTTTTTTATGTAGCTAAAATCAAATGAAATTTAAAGTGATATCGACAGAAATAAAACCGAACTAAACTAAGCCGAATAAATGAATAGAATGTGTTATTCTTTTATTTTCTGCTCTTATGCTCTTTCAATTCCATTTTAAGAAAATAGCATTTATGATAATTTCGATGTTAATTTCCTTTGTTGTCCAAAAGAAAAAGACGAAAGAAGAGAGGAGACAAAAAAGAAGATTTTACGTTTATGATTATATCACGTATTTCCTCCATTTGAAATATTTACCAATGCATTGTGTAAGGGAATCTCACGTAAAAGGTACAAACACCAAAAATGGGATAGACTTTTTTTATAAGAGAATTGCTATATTCGAATGTATCCGAAACGAACGAGAGGAGAAAAAATGATTTGAATTGTTGATGTTTGGAATAGAACAACAACATCTATGGGTACATATATATTTTTTTAAATTCAATATACCATTCACTTCTTGCATATCGTGTTGTTGTTGTGTGTTTCATTGAATTCTATTCTAATTAAACTGAATACATTTGTTGTCATTAAATCGGATCGGGTGGGCGAATGTAATGCATAATATGCTTGAAGTCAGCACTGAATTGATATGAATGACCGAGCAGAAATTAGAACGTTAATGCTGAATTTTAATATGTGCATAAAATTCATACACTATAACACTTGTAATCGCATGAAAGAGAAACGTTCTCGTATGTTGAGCAGCATTCATGGTGTGTTTTTTTTATCTCTTCTCTTTGTTTTGTGGAGTATTTTTCGTTCATACTGATGTTTTACATCAGTGGTACAATTTTGAGTATGCCAATAAGTAAACCTGTCCGCATGCATTTTACTTTTAGCACATATCTTTCTCTCTTAAAGAGTTCTTATATTGATTCCGGTATATTGGCATCATCATCACCATCATCAATGTATCACACACAAATACACGCATCGGACAGTTGTCCCAGTTCCGTAAAAGAGAAAGAAGGGCATGTCGGTCATAATATGCGCTGATATACACTGCATTTATAGCAAAATACCATCAACAATCCAAACGCCAATGTACAAAATTCGATTTGGCGAAAACTGGTTACGTGCGCATAAAGTAAAACACAAACCCAAATCAGGCTCTGTCTCTTTCTCTAGTTCTGTACTCAAGCAAAAACAAAAACACCGACCGTTGTTTTTTTTTGCACCTATATTTATTTCACAGAATAAATGGTATGCGCGCACCAAAACAAGTTTCCAGTTGCAATTTTATGCTACTTACACCTTACCTCAATCGTACGTTTTTTGATGAATCGAACAAATAAACCTATAAAAAAAATGCTTCCATATGTGCGCCACTTCCTACACTCATTTCCAAAAATTTTTTTTAGCAAAATAATCAAACAAAATACACCGAAAAAATATCACTAATTAAAAAGATTGCGACATTGTATTTAAAAGGCCGATTTAAAAAAAAAACACACAATAATGTGACATTTAACGATGGTGGTGTATTAACCACCTACAGAGTACAGACCGACCGATATAATATTCAATTTCACGTGGTTTCATCAATCATGTACGCTAACGATCCAATCGCAAAATATAAACATTTTTTCATCGAATCATCATATGGTAGACTCCAGAATTTCATTCTAAAGAATACTATGATCAAAAGTATGAGTCAAAAATGAAGTAACCAATGGCTTGGCATGAATTTTCTGTTTGAATTTGAAATGATTGGCTTGAACTACTGTAGAACTTTTTCATAATAAAATATGAATGGAACTTTTCCATCAAGTTCTCAATCGATGCAAAAAAGCTGAAAAGCTTTCGGGAAAAAAAGTTGATGTGATGTGTTTGCGATGATCCAATAGATGGCGTTGCCAATGCGATTGAGAGTTGACTGAAACCTTTTTCAATTCATGTTAAAACTGAATTTGTCAAGTGCGTTTTTTTATGGAGATGAAACATGAGTTACTACTTCAATTGTTTCAACAATGGAAACAATTTGAAAAGAATTGTTTTTTTTCTCTCTCAAGTAAATAATGAAATTAAGTAAAAATGGCTTGCATGTTGAATTCGCATTTTGCAAAACTTCAATTGGTAATTTTATAAATTTAAAAATGTTGATGTGACTCAGGCAACAATCTATTACTTTTTGCTATGTATCGTTTTCAAGCGACACAATTGCGTACAATGAGTAAGTTAATGGGCTGGCATTGTGAACAATAAAATAAGATACTATAGATCTTTCACATTCAATTAGCATTTGGTTTTCTTTTCCGTTTTCCTCAATGGCAAAATGATAATACTGAAATGATATCATAATACAAACAGCCGGCCGGTTATTTAATATGTTATTTTTTTCTCTCTTCTTTTTTTATTTATAATAAATGGTAGGGAGATACATGCCAAGAAATGCAGGAAAGGAGTGAAAGAGAAAACGTGACTCAAGTTTCATGCATCGACTGCTGGATTTGATGTGTGAGAGAAAGAGTTGTTGGTGTATATTAACAATGCAAAGTACTAGTTAAGATTCGCCACGTAGAAACGTTTTTGGCATATAATTTGTTTGTTGTTTTTCTTACTGGGAGATTTGGTGGGAGAATTGTTGTTAAGTAGGCCATTGTATATGTGTGAGCATGTGTTTTTTTTTATAAATAAGAAGAATCGAGAGAATATCTGAATATTATAATAATTGAGAAAGAAATTAAAAAAAGAGATAACAAAGTATAAATCTTAAGGTCAATCAATTGCTCAACCCCAGAATCACATCAGATCGGAATTGATGTGAGAAGACATGTCACCATCAAATTTATTTGGTGAAGTAAATTTGGCTTATTCAAAAGAAGGAAAGGTAAAAGAGAAGACGTTGATAAAACATACCTATGCTCCCCACAATGTGTGCTTGTGCTTATGTGTGTGTGTGCGCGCTTGGAACACCAAAAAAAAAAACCAATTTAACGAAAGCAAAATCAAAACGTAGCCTAAACACACATATTTGGCGAATACGAGCAAAGAGATTGTATTCTCTCATACACATGTGATATGTATGAGTATAATCAACTTAAGATCATTACGATAAACACAAAAAAAATTCATGTTTATTATTTACAATTTTTAATTCTTCGAATAAACGCATACATATATCAACGGCACAGCAGCCACAACCAGTGCTAGATGTCTTCGAAGTTGATCGTTTGATTTTTAGTTGACGTTAACACGAATATTGAATGTGACCGGATCGGTCGATTACATTTTTCGCTCATTGATACTTAATCGGTTTTTTTTGTGTTTTGTCATTCTATCTTCACTTTGACCAAGAAGGGTATTTAATAAAAGGTATACAAATTGGATATCTAATAATTTTCTTACATTCACATTATTATATGACATATCTCGAGAGTGAAATTAAAAAAAAAAAATTGTCGCATGAAGTGAGTTTGGTTGCGTCTGAGACGTGATGTGATATGTGCAGCTATTTAGTGACTGTTTGATATGGGGGCATTCAAGAATTTTGAAAACGAACCCGTCTGATTGAGTCATCGATTCGGCTCTGTGCACAAATTACCGCCCACAATCTCGATGGAGCATGCGCTTCAAATGTGTTCTTTCTTCAGATTCAATGGAGTCCATATTTAAAAAAGAAAACAGCAGCAACGTTGATTCCATTCCAAATGGCCATACAATGAAATGCTTTTTTATGACATTCGCAAAAAAAATTGTTGCACCATTTTTCTCTCTATTTTTCTAAATACGTTTTTATTTTTATTGTTGTACGTTTCTGGAGATTCAGGGTTTTTTCCCTAATTTGATACTTGCTTGAAGATACGGATTCACTTTTATATCATTTTAATTCCGCGCGAAAGAAACATTAAAAATATCACCGGACAAAATAACGACATTGAAACCGTGCACAAATAGAAATGAGAAAAAATAAATAAATCGCGATTTTCTCATGAATGAAATGCCGGTCATTTGATTCGTTCTTCTTTGTGTATGCGTATTTAAAAAAAGAAACATTTATCATTGTAATTAAAGAGCAATTAATTCACACAAAATAAATGTTCGAGCAACAGAAAGTGAGAAATCATTGTATTTGTTGATTCAAACAAAAACGTTGACACGAATGTGAACATTTAACTCATCGTGCAATAGCATAGTATATAGAGAGCTGATAGTATCGCATGGTGTACCAAAAAGCGTCTCTTTCACTCGCTCTACTCGCTATCCATTCCAAATGCCTTCAGCCTTTACTATGCTCCATATTATACATGCTCGACGCTCGATATCAAACACACCGTCGTACTCCAATTTACCGAATGTGAGGCAGAAGCGAAGCGAAGAATGGTACGACGAAAATGTTGTGCAGAGAAATCGTGTATTTGTATGGAACTCAGTCCTAGGTCACATTCCCTGGCGCGCGTACAGAATATTTTTGTGATTCTATTGAGTCCAATATTTCGCATTCAAATTCGTATCAATTGCTGTATGATCAAAATTTCAAATCGAAAAATTAAACTATTTTTATCGCTCATTGTTGTTTGCTTTGATTTAAACCATAAAAAAAATTCGTCCACAATCAAAGTACACACATACTCACACACCCAAACATTACTACGACAACTTAAACAACATCATTAATAACTGCAAAAAAATCTGCAAAAACAAACGACAATAAAAAAAAACGGAAAGAAAAAGAATTATTAAAATGTTGTGCGTTGATAATAATTTTATAAAATTTGCGTGATAAAAAGTCGAAGAAAAAGAAAAAGAAAATATTAGTATTCGTTGTTATTGTTATTATCTAATATCTAGTTAAAAAGTTTTTTTTTTGCAACGGATGATGTATTGACGTGAGTCAATAACATATTATGAATTGGCAAAAGTGAAAGTGAAACCAAATCATACGGAAGTATTTGCGTTTGATTTAATTTTGTTTTGCGTGGTTTTTCTATATTTACGTATATATATATTTTTAAATTCGCTTCAATGTGGTGTCTGTTTCTAGTTTTTCGTTTCATATTTTAATTAACTGCCTATTATGGCCATTGATGTTGATACGAGCTTATCCACATCGTTGCACAACGTGTGATCGATTTCAGTGTGCAAACGGAAAAACAAGAATCTCCATCGCGATTAATAGTAAATATTTCAAGAAACAAAAACAAATATAAAATCTGTGATAACCAATGTGACAATAAAGAAATTCAATTGACGACAAACAAAAAGCATCGAACAGACTCCAAACAAAGAGTTTATTCAAATTCAAAGGCCGTGACACAGTGTGTGACATTTTGATTTTTCGTTGTATTCATCTTTATTTTTAGTTTATTTTTTGTTATTAATTTAGAAACAAAGTTTTTAATTTGATTTGAATGCCAATAAAATAAAATAGTTGTGACATCACCCATAATCAAAAGTGACAACCAAAAAAAAAGCTTTGTGATTTTTCTATTCAAAATAAAAAAAAATACGCAAATTGAATGTCAGCCATTTTTAAAGGTGAGCACGATCAACGAAATGCGACCAACAGCATTCCAGCAGCAAAGAATTGCGAACGTCAGGGAAATATACATAATTGGGCTTATTGTGGCAACAATATGTATATCGTACGGTAAGTAAATGAACACAATAGTATTATTCTATCAACAACATCAAAAAAATTGTAAATTTACAACTACGAGAGATAGAAACAGACGACGTAAACGAAGAGAGAAGAAAAGTCTGTTTACCAAATTTGCTTTGATCTCGATGAAATTCAAACAAAATTTCCGTTGTACAAAACTGAATAAAGTCGCACGTTACTATGTGATTGCTTCAGTGAAATTCGACTTTTGTCAGCAAAAAAAAAATCGACGCCCCTCTGACTAAAAAGGTAAGAGGATAGCTAAAGTCTCTTACTTATAGACTTCTTATCTTCTTAATAGACGTTTTTTTAGGTTGTTAGCATTTTTTTCAATACGTTAGGCATCTTTCAAGGAGTTTTTTCTTCTTCATAACCATTTCTACGGTTACCTATATTGCTTTTTTCCCCTTTGTTTTTATACCGAAGGTGTTTCAATCATTTTCAAATCAATTAAACCATTTAATTTTTTTATCGATATTTGAAAATGACCCCTTTGCACGAATATCGAAACAGAAGTACTTCTTATGTGAAGTATTTCTAAAACGTATTAGTTTTGCAAACAAATCGACGGGAATTTAATGACATTTTCTTTATTTTGCAGCAAAAATTGTGCTACATCAATTATTGAGTCATTAAATAATTAAATAGACAAATTATGTAGAAAAAATAGTCAACATTGTTGACTCAACAATTACTTTTTTCAATGATTTCTTTCGAAATCGATAAATGATGTTTAATTTCATGCAAAAACCTGTAGGCAAAAAAAAATATTGGATTATTTTTAATTGGGTATCATCACGAAATTTTCATCAATTGAATGCAAAATGAGTTGGGTCTTACCATCATCACACCTCATGCATTTAAAATACGTGTGTTCATTTCGTCTTTTGGTGGCATATTTGGTAATGTTTGACTGTAATTTCCGTCTTGAGAAATCACAGCTCATCTATTATTTAATTGCATTTTGAACAGCAGTCAAACTAAAATGCAACACATTTTCGAATGAAACATAGCAATTGAAATGAAATAAGCAAATTCCCACGTCTTTTTATGCATACAGCATACTATTTAATATATTGAGCATTATTCCCGCCAACAATGAATCGTCAATATGACGATGATTTTCGTGAATATCAGATGTTTCTGCTATACTTTAATGCAAAGCCATCAATTTGACTGATATATTCTGTTCCATTGCGCTATAGCATGTGGTATGATTCCCGAGCGTTTTGAATTAAAACGGTGCGTGCATCTTTATTCATTTTCTCTCCCTTTTCATTTTCTCCGCTTAGGCACCAAGCTGACAAGGATACTATATTTAAATTCTTGTTTTCGTACATACGATAATCCGACCGGTGCGCAAATATTTGTTTAATAACTTGTTCAACAACGTTTCAGCATTTAATACAGATATTAACATACCGAATGAAAGGGAAGAAAGACAGCCACACACACAGAGAGAGAAAGAAAGAAAGAGAGAAAGGAAGAACAAAATAAAAAAAAATGTGTGCCACACACCAAAATCTACTCATCAAATACTTACGGCAAATGCAATATTAGTTGTCTAAATCTTACACCTAACGTATATATCGATGTGATTCTCTTTTAAGTGGTAATCACCATGACGGTTATAGCATGCACAACGAGATTCCGAATAGATTAATTCTTTTTATTCATTTTCTTTCTCACGCGTCCCATGAATCGTCTCGCAATAAATAAATAAGGGACGATTCAACGCAAGAACCAGTAGCACAACAGCCAACGCATTTATAATTACAATATCAATTTAAATTGTCTTCGTTCTTTTCATTCTGTTTGTCTACTTGTCCGTGTATCAAGGATTTGTTAGCGACGGAAAAAATGGAACTGTGCAAAAAAAAAAATACATGAGCTTGACGATGCAATGAATGACATTTGATGAACGCCAACAAATAAAAATCAAATCGATTGGTGTCGAAAAATTGCAATAACATCTGAAAAGTTTGTATTTCTTGTTGTTTCGTTGTCACGTGTTGTTTGTGCATTTTTTATGTTCTGCTTTTGTTTGCTCTACTACACCAAATGCTCTGAATATCAATTAGAACAACGAGCTTGTAAAACGAGCGATGTAGGTGTTGGTGTTGTTTTTTTGTCCTTCTGGCTTTATTTCACTTCCGCGTTTCGTCGATGGTTGTGTTATCAAACACGTGCAACGAGCGCTAAATGTTTTTATTTTTTCACTTTTCAACGAAAGGATATCAGCGGCATCACAGTTGATTTCATGCTGTGTTGAATGTCTCAATTGAAATGAAAACACATTCCCCAATAACGTTTTTCACGATGAATGCTTAAACGTTTACACATTTAACTGTAATAGAAGGAGCGAAGAAAAAACGATCCCAAAGAGCGAATAAGATGACATGATGGAAAAGTGAGAGAGAGAGAGAGAGAGAACGAAGAAAAAAAAAAGAATAAATAAAAATGAAAAACATGTGAAGAGCAAAACACTCGGGCGAATCAAATTGCTGCTTTGATGGAAGGACCCAAAAGCAAATAACAATTTGCTTGAGATTTTTCTTTTACCTTTGTAGTATCCGTTTTGCTGTTACAGAAATGAAACGGATTTTTTTCATTCTTTCTCTGACTTAAAATTGCCATTCACTCTCAAGATCAGTTCACGAGCACTAAACAATTTTTTTTTCTCTTCTGATTCCAGTAATGCTTCGATGCGATTTTATTTTTTGAAATCGGCTTGAAATCACACGTTTTTTTTTTAAATAACGTTCTGGGAAAGGGATTTAGATCGATTTTTGCCGCGAATCATTTTATGCTGCGCTACTTGAAAAGTGCCTTCATTTTAACACGCACGCAATCTACAAGTCTAGTGTGTAGCTTTATATGTTACTTGTTTGCCTACTGAGATTTCATCAAATTGTTGTAATAAAATAGCATATATCGACAGCGAGTACGAAATGTTTGAGTTGGACTCAAGGCAAAGTGTTGTAACGTTCGATTTATAGATGAAACTCATCGAGTATCAAGCATAAGTATTTTACACTTAAAAATATAACTGTCGGTTAAAATCTGGATCATGGGGCGAATCACGCTAGTAAATACTAGAAAAACTAGTAAATCTAGTGCGAATAATGACGTCACAAACGAAGCCAACTTCACACCAAAGGCCATATAATTTATATGAAAAACTACTGAGGGCCAACTTCACGCACTAGAATTTTCTAGTTTTCTAGTGAAATCTTATTAAAAACTAGATACACTAGAATTTCGTGATTGACCCCATGATCTGGATGTTGCTCCATTGAAAAGTTCAGGTTTCATCGCATCAAATGATGATAGATTCGTTGAATCAAAAGATAACTCAATGACCATGCATTGATATTTCGTTCCATTGATTCGTGTTTGGGCGATCGATTCACTGCGGCCCTTTCTCTCGATAAGTATCAATCTGCCGACTGCATTGCCAAGTTAACGACAATTTTTATAAATCTATACTAAATTAAGGCGTCAAACGTTATTACTCCAAGTTGATGCATTTTTCTATATGAAAACTCATATTTGGGTCAATGTTTATACAAGTTCGAAATTAAAATAAATCTATTCACATGATTAACAAGTTTACTTGTCACAGTGCTATAAATTTCACCCAAGCTAATTTAACCTGTTCAGTTTTTTGAATGAAATGTATCGTTCAATCAGTTTGCTTGTACTGCCTTGCCCAACATAATCACATCAATCGTTTAACATTTTGCAAAGTGTTCATTCGACACACTATTGAAATGAAGTCATGTTTAGCTGATATTTTAATTGTAGAAAAGTCATGATATAGGCATACATCAAATCAATTGTAATACGAATGGCACATTATTCATCAGAGACATGAATGTATCCGTAATGTTTATGTGTGAAACAAGTTTGATCATAGATTTCAAGAAAAAAAAAAAACACACACACTGTGAATGTCGGTGCTAATGTTATTGTTCAATTGACTTCAGTGTAGTTGCGATTTCAATTCCAAAAATAATGATCTACGTACGTAGACCCTATAACATTAAAAATGATTAATATTTAAAGATAAATCTGCCTCCAATTGGAATAATGAACAGAGCTGAGCAAAAAAAATCATCATTGAATAAAATCAATTGAAAATACTTGTTGAAGGTACTCTACCGCTGTCTATCACTTATGCTCTCTGTCGCTGGAACGGCGATCGTAACAATTTAATCGTTTCAATTATGAACCGTACAACTTTCAACCTTCGATTTAAAAAAAATTGATGAAAAACATGTAGCATCTGAAAGAAATAAAACAAATGATTGACTTTTTTTCTTCAGCTGTTTGGTTAGTTTAATTTCGTTAGCGAACGAAGGCCACATGAAATAGTAAAAAAAAAATTTGGAATTTAAAAAACATGAATTTCAATCAAAATATATATCTAATCTGAAGAGCACACGACCATCACAGGGAGTGTTTTTTTTGTGTTGTTGTCTCTGTTTTGAGTGCACGAACAATGTTGCCTTGGTAACTTTGTTTCGTTCTACTTTTTAACTCTCTTTCGTTCCACAATCTCAAATTGATGCGATGAATATATTTTTTCGCTGATTTTCCGCAGAGGTGTTTTAGATGAAAATAAAAAAAAGAAGAATTTGTGGCAGAAGAGCGTTGTCTTGGTGTTTATTTGTCTGTCTGCCCGTCAGCCAGCCAATCTCATTGTATACACCGAAGAATAAACGGTTCTATCTCTTCCGAGTATATATTATATCAACCAAAAGTATATGCGAAATGCAGATAAATAGAAACAAATCCTTTTATCCTCTTATAAATGTGAAAAACCGTATCCCCTATTAAAAAGGGATAAACGCATTCAAGCCAAATGTTGGATAATAAACATATATATATATATATATATATATGTAATAAAGATACATTGTATGTACTCGAGACTGTGAAATAATAACAATCATCCAGTGCATTGTTATTTGTTCGGTTTTCAA